GGTATTTTCAATAACCACATATGCATGTGAAAGCTGGACAGTGAATAAGGAAGACCATAGAAGAATTGATGCTTTTGAGTTATGGTGTTGGAGGAAAGTATTGAAGGTGCCATGGGCTGCCAAAAGAACCAATAGATCTGTTTTGGAAGAAGTGCAGCCAGAGTGCTCCTTGGAGGCCAAGATGGACAAACTTCGTCTCTCATACTTCAGACAAATTGTCAGGAGGGACCAGTCGTTGGAGAAGGATATCGTGTTTGGTAAGGAGGTGCATCAGAGAAAAAGAGAAAGACCCCCCAACGAGATGGACTGGCCAAGTTGGCAGCATCGATGGACTCAGGTGTGGCCACAGTAGTGAGGTCGGCCCAGGATCAGGCAGTGTTTCATTCTGCTTTGCATAAGTAGGTACCGACTCGATGGCACCTAACAACAACAACAAGTAGTCAGATAATCTATATGAATGGGATAGTGTAGTGCTTGGTACATAATTAATAATTAGGACATACACACAGAGTCCATCTCTTCATAAAGCTTAAAACAATCCTAGCAACCATTTGTTGTGCTTCCAAGATTTACTTTGCTTTCCATCCCAGATAGGCAGCGCTCAGCAGTACAGTGTACAACCAGCATCCATCCTGACTAGGACCCAGGGATTGTTGTCAGTTGCCATGGAGTTACCTCAGATTCATGGGGACCCTCTATACAACAGAAACCAACTTTGCCAGGTCCTGCACCACCTTGACGATAGTTGTGCTCAAGTTGTTTTTTGCAGCTGTCAAGTGCCTTCCAACCTAGGAGATTTATCTTCCAGAACTGTATCAGTCCATATTCTGTTTTGATCCATAGAGTTTCATTGACTGTTTTTCAGAAGTATATAGCCAGGCCTTTTTCCCTAGTCTACCTTAGTCTGAAACCTGTCCACCATGGATGACTTTGCCTGTATGTTATGTGCCGGTGGCATAGCTCCCAGCATCACAGCAACATGCAAGGCACCACAACATGACAAGGTGACAGATCAGGTGGTGGGGTGCTTGGGGGGTCCTAGTGGCTAAACATTTTGAGTCTTGCTCCTCCTTTAACATTAGGTGTCTCCAGAGGGACCACACTTCATCTGAGCACTGTGAGAAAGAGGAGTGTGGTGGTTTTGTTGTTTTACAGACACCATCAAGAGAAACTGGAGGCCAGTGTCTGTGATAACCAGCAGGACTCGCCCACTCTGCAAAAGCCTGGACGAAAGAGGAAGTGGGCTGAACAAAGACAAGATTTTAGTCAAAAGATATCCCTTGAGCCGAAAACAAAAGGTTTGTATGTTTTACCAGGACATACAGAGTAAAGTTGCTAAGATTCTAGGGCAGCCGTGCATGTGAAAGACCTGGCCGGCTGCTTTCACCATGACTAAAGACAAGAAGACCCTCGGGAGCAATTCTGTTCTGTACATGGGGTCACTATGAGTCTGAATCAACCTACAGCTTCCTACAACAATAACATGGGCTGAGTCAAACCCCTGTGTATTTACACTTCATATGGATGTGGATGCCTGGGAAATGCCCCTTGTCCGTTTTCTGAAGGAAGGGGGAGCAAAAGTCCCTCTGAGCGTACTACTCTTACAGTAGTTCTTAACTTTTGAGGAGTCTACAGTCTCTTTTGGGAATCTGATTTTAATAAAAGCTGTGGACACGACACATTCATTTTGAGGTAGGGAGGTCTTAGCAAAGCAAACACTGACACTCTGTTTTATCCTCACCAGGTATACCAGAGGTGAAGTTACTGTGTGGGGCAGACTTACTGGAGTCCTTTGGTGTTCCCAATTTGTGGAAGAGTGAGGACATTGCCCAAATCGTGGGAGGCTATGGGCTCATCTGTGTTACTCGGGCTGGGAATGATGCTCAGAAGTTCATCTATGAATCAGATGTGCTGTGGAAACACCGGAGCAACATTCACCTGGTGAACGAGTGGATCACCAACGACATCTCGTCCACGAAGATCCGGCGAGCCCTCCGAAGGGGCCAGAGCATCCGCTACCTGGTGCCAGATGTCGTCCAAGAATACATTGAGAAGCATGATCTGTACAGCTCAGAGAGTGAAGCTAGGAATGCTGGGGTTATCCTGGCTCCTCTGCAGAAAAACACTGCGGAAGCCAAGTCATAAAAAATCCCGAAGGGTGACATGCTGTGCAGCTGTGAGCTAGTCTGCTCTTAGTAACTGGGGAAAGAATCAGGACCCTGCTTCATAAACTGAGGCTCGAAAGTTCGGTAAAAGTCAGCAAACAGTTAAAACCAGGTGATTTTTCTTTTCTTTTTATCAGAAGTTAGTAAGATGAGTATTTTCAGTATGGTCTTTTTTTCTAAAATTTATAAATCCCTTTATGTTCAAAGCAAGTGATTAGCAACACTCAAGTCAGAAGAATATTTAATCAAACTGACTACAAATAAGAAGTCAAACAGGACATCCTGGCTTTAACACATAGGATAAGCAAAGTGTAAAAAACAAGAATCCATTAAAAATCCTAACTTTAGTTACAAGGGCACAGGCATTTTATGGGTAGCTATTGCTGGACAGTCTTCACCCAGGGTGAATTTTTTAAGTGATGATCGTATAAACTGCTCAGCTATCACCAGCTGTGCAGAGGAGACGATGTGGGTGCACCTTGCTTATCGTTGTCGCTGGCACACACAAGAATGGCCCGTTAAACTTTGCCAAGATACGCCCACCTGGAGCCCTACCTTTGGGGTCCCAGCACCAGAGTGGTTAGAAGGGTGCACAGGTGGTTCTGATGCCCACCAGAGGTAGAAAGTCTCTGCCTTACACATGCTGTACACACTCCCCTAAGTACTGCCTTCTTGTGGATCCTACGCTTGTCTGGCCATCCACAGTCCTTTATCTTTAGGGACACCCTAAGAGACAACATCATACTACCTGGAGAGAAAGAACCACAGAGAATGAAGGGAGTCTCCTTCAAAGATTATATGAAGTATGATGACTGCTCTTAGCCTTGACTGAAAGCCTCATCATCAGAAGCCTAGTGGAGAGCCTAAGAACAGAAGAAAGGTGATGTTAGGAGAAACTCTGTGTCATCTCCATCAGAACTTCCCTGGGGGTTCTGGAGTGTCCTGCCTTCTTGGTCCAGCCCTCTGTGAACCTGCCATTTGCAGGTTTCTCACAGACTGCCTCCTCTGGACTTTTTGGGTGAATTCTAACAGAAGTTGAACTCTCAGAAGTTAAAGTCACAGATTTATATTAAGAATACAAGCTTCTTGTTGTTGTTGTTTTGGTTTGCTATTGATTAAAATTATACTTATTGGTAAAGTAAGAAAATCAAAAATGGTTTTTTTATAGAATAGTTTTATGGTTCTTGAAATTAGTTTTTCATAGACCCAGGACTAAAGTTGAATTTCTAAGGAAAATAATAGAAGAATTTACTTTTTTGCAATGTATACGAGGGGGCTTCAGAAAGTTTTGTGGAAAATTCCATTATCTTTTCATTCCATTTTCCTGGAACTTTTCAAAGGCTTCTTGTATTTCATACATAATCCACTCCAGATACAGGGTTTATAATTCTGCAGAAGGAAAAAATACTTAAAATGATGCAGTTGTAAAGTCATACGTGCATCTGTAATTTAAAAAAGGAGTATATTAAAGCTGGCGTGTATGTGTTCTGTTTGTGTTGGCTGCTGTTGAGTTGATTCCACCTCATAGTGAGCCCCTCTTTATGGAAGCGGGTGGCCAGGTCTTTCTCTCAGTGAGCCACCGGGTGGTTTTGAACTGCCAAGCTTGCAGTTGTCAGCTGAGGGCTTAACCACTGTGTCAGCACGACAGCTCCAGAATTATTCTTTCTAAAGCCACAAGGCCCGCTTCTGAAAGAGTGAAGGGTGTGAAGTCTGGCTCCTAGTAGGTTCCTCTACTGAACTGCTGAACAAATGAATTTTTACTATCTCAGGTTAAGGGTTAATTTCCCCTTATTTTTTTTTGAGTTTAAGAGCCAGAGCAACAATAAACAAAAAGATAAATAAACACAACTTTGATTTCTTCTTGGGAAAAAAAAATAGACCTTGTTTATGTGATGTGTGAACCACAGGAAAATATAATGCTGGAAACGACCCTGGTTCCTTCCTATCTAGAAGTGCCCATCCCTAGCTTAGCTCTGAGTATGCTGACTTCATGACCCATTGGGGAAAGCAGGTCAGGATTCTCCCAGGAGGCCTGCTAGTGGTGAAATAACCTATTGTTATACTATTTATGGGCCAGCAACTTTGTACACAGAACAAGCTGTTTGGCTGTTTGACCCAGTACTAAGGATGCTGCTAATGCCCCCGCCTAATAGCAGTTTGTTGTCCTCAAGGACAGAGTTTCCTCTTTGGATAATGGAACTTCAGACAATGAACTTTACAGGGGAGTGAACACTAATGGCTTCCTTTAAAGAGGAAGAAATCATGCCATTGTGTGTTCTCTACCACATCCTTTTTATAGTGTATTGTTATAATGTGAATGTAGAGTTTGGAAAATGTGTGACGCTGGTGTTTTCTATGTGTTGTACCCCTTCACCCCTTCCATTGTTTGTATAACTTGAGTGTGGTGGAATAACCTGCTGACAAGCCCTTCACTGGCAGATCGTTTCCAGGTGAACACATAGCATCCACAGGGCTTTTCTGGTGTTGACCTATTTAGTGAAAAAATAGGAACAACAAACCTTTTCAGTAGAGGATTGAGTTCTTGGTGACCACGATATAGAGATTGAGCCAAAGGAATGATTTAGATGCATTGAAAGAAAATTCTGACAAAATTTAAAATTTATTTGGTTTCAAATAGATTGGTGAATCAGGCAGCCTGGCCTCAGTGGGACCCAGAATAGCCCCCATTTCCTGCCTTGTCCCCCCCACCCTCCAAACAAAAGAAAGCTGAAAGGTTTTCTATACAGAAAACAAAAGGCAGAGAGAAAGACACAAGGCAGTTGTCATGCATTTTGACTGACTTACAGGTCACACGGAGAGCAGACTGTTAAGGGCATGTAAAACTAACTCTATACTTCTCACGGTTCAGACATCTAGGCAAGTAGCTGCTATGTGCTGTGGACTCAATTCCCACTCATAGTGACCCTATAGGACAGAGGAGAACTGAGGGTTTCCTAGGCTGCTATAAGCACTTGACTAATAACCACAAGATCGGTCATTCAAACCCACCAGTGACTCCTTGGAAACCTTGTACAGGACCAATGAGTCGGAACCGACTCCATGGCACTTAACAACAGCAATCTTTACTGGAGTCAATCACCACATATTTTTTTCTTGCGAAGCCACTGATAAGTTCCAGGTCACCAGCACTTTCAGTTAGTAGCCGGGCACTAGACCACTGTGCCAGCAGGTCTCCTTGCCTAGACGAGTTGTTGTTAAGTGCCATTGAGTCAATTCCGACCCATAGTGGCCCTGTACAGAGTTTTCGAGTAGCAGCTGGTGAGCTCAAATCACCAGCAGATCAAAATGTGAGCGAGCAAAAAGATAGGTAAGCAGTGAGAGCAAAAGAGATGGAAATTTCAAATAGGGGTGGGCAGGCAGGATAGAATCACTCAAGCCTCCGGTCTTCAGCTGGATTTTGTTGTGCCATCGAGTCGGTTCCGACCCATAGTGACCCTGTAGAGGGTTTCCAAGGAACGGTGTGTGAGCTTGAGCCACCAACCTTGCAGTTCAAAGGGCTTTGCAGTCTGGCGCATTAACCCCCCCCCACAGTGACACACCAGGACTCCTCAGCTGAATGCAAATATAGTAGGTCAAAGGAAGGAGCCCTAGAGGCACATTCAGCACCTGGCTGCGAATCATAATAAAAAATATTTGTAACAAAACTTACCGTTTCAACATTTTTTGTGTGTACAATCTGTACAACCCCTAACACTATCCATTTTCAAATATTTTGCCTCCTTAAGCTATTTCATACAACCTGTGGCTGTTGTAAGTGCCATCAAGTGACTTGTAACTCATCAAACCTGTATAGCATTCCCGAGGATTGGCTTGAATTGCCAACCTGTTGCCAAACCAAAATGAGGGCTTACCTCCTGTCACTGTAGACAGGAGACAGGAGAAACCCAATCCACACTTTATTAACAGCCAACAGTCTGGAGGACGGTGAGAACAGCGTCTCAAGACCATACTGCCCATCTTGAAGACTGGGCATACTATATACGGAAGATTACATTTGGATATACACTTAATCTAATTTAACATTAAGATAGCATTTTTGGAAAAAGAATAAATCAAAAAACTTCACATGTTTTATCATTTGGGAAAGGGGAACATAACAGGCAATAATCCTTCTCAAACATTCCATCTTTGCTGATCTTTAACTAACTTCAATACCTAATGACTAAACCGACTCCATTCAGTTTATCCATGCTGTCATTCCCCAAATAATACGAGAAGCTGGGTTCTATGAAGAAAAACATGGCGTCAGCATTGGAGGAAGACTCATTAACAACCTG